GTTTCAGCCCAAAAATAAACTTACCAAGATAAATGTCTTTAAGTGACTGTAACTAATTAGTACCGACATCAGCTGAAAGGGATTTCTGTTTTCACAGGGATATTTGCAGGATCGAAACAACTTTAATTTCAGCTGCTGAACCTGCGATTTTCAAACAAAACTGAGAAATTTCTTTGATTTAAGTTGATTAACCGGTAAAATATTTGAACCTGAATGTTCAAAACAGAAAATAGAGAAAAAGAAATAAATCAATTTGCACATCCAACATAAAAGGCAGATTTAATGGGGAGCTCCTGACAGAGCTAGTGTTCGGGAGTGTCGTGCAAAAAAAGGGGGAAAATTTTGATGATAGGCAACATCTCAAGTGTTTACGTAGTTACATGGCTAAATATGATAAACTGTCGGTGAGCGGATGTCGCTAGTTGTGTCAGAGTTAAATGTCAAACCACATTCTAATACATACGCTCACTCACACATACACCGCCAGGACCACCTGACAGGACATGTAAACACTGAGACGCTACACGCACACTCAAACACTCACCCAGCTCTCCCACACTCGCTCTCAACACTTGCCCACCCCTCAGCCCCTTATTCCACAACAACACAGGAAGTCACAGGGTGACCCATTTCCAGCACAGCTTTTATTTTGTTTGGTCTCTGTACAGATGTCACTGAAAGCAACGGAAACATGCTGCATGTGTAGAGAGGAGGAGTGAAAATACATACATCATGACCTCAGCGGCTTAGTAAAAAATCAGCAGTTTGTTACAGAATCTGCTCCTCCCGCCGACCTAAATGTAATGACATAGTGGAGCACTTTCCTTTGTCCTCACAGCAGATCAGTTTGGACGACGCTCACTTTGGTGCCGAAATGCTTCTGTGGGAATTTCTGGAATAAAGCAGTTGTGTAGATAGTGCTAGTGATAAGAAATCACACGTCTGTCATGACTAATTCGTGGAGCAATGATGTGGTGTTGATATTCACGCTATCAAAGCCCTTTGAAAGTCACAGGTTTGCCTATAGAAAACTGAAATCTGTGTTTTACCCCTCTTAAAACTTCAACCCCATTAAGAAAAAAATTATGATTCACAAACACCCCCTTTAACGAAACACAAATCCTGCAACTGAACAATAAATATATCTATAAAGAGGAGGCTGTTGGCAAACAAGAGCATAACACAATCTGTAGGAAATAAATATTATAGTGATGCTGGTATACAGGAATACAATCAAAACAGTGATGTTTTAAGAACTAGACCGTTGTCTAACATTAATTATAGGAGTAAATAGAACCTGATCTGGAGCTGGATTTGAAGCTCAAAGCATCAGCGAAGGAGCTGCAATAACTTCCAACATGTTCCGGTTTGGTACAAGTATTCTGCTTGGACAAAATGTGTAACATCCACACATAGCCAGAATCTCCCAGAACCTTGTCTGGAAACATATTAAGTTCTTATAAAGTGAAAGCTGAACTTTCTGCGCATACATTTAAACGTTTGTTACCAAGAAAACAATGGATAAGACTGAAACTAGGTTTGATTCAGAAATACACGATATTGAAAGGGTTAGGATTTTTTTTTCCAGCTTTGTTTTTGCTAAACTTTTTCTTGCAAAGCAGAAGCAATAGGAGCAAAGGCAAACAAAGCACAGCGCATAACAAATACAGACATTCGGGCCTAACATAGTAAAAAATATATACAAAACAAAGATAAATATATAAAAAATAAAACAAATATAAAAAAAGAACAAAATCAAAACAATCAACTAATCAGGGAGACCAAAAAAATATTAAATAATATCTACGCCAATATGATAGCTTGTCACACTATAACCTTGGGTCTTTTTCCCGGGCCATGTCCATAAGCCCTGACCTCAAGCTGCGACATCAAAATTGTCCAGAAATGGGTCCAAGGTCCGATAGAATACAAAGGGTTTGTCCTTAAATGAAAAAAAAAGCCTGAAATGTAATGATACCAGTCACAGTTTTTTCCCACTGATTTAGTGTGAGGGTTTTCAGAGGCGTAGCCAGAAAATTTTTATAAGGGTAGCCAGGCAATAACCGATGTACCCTGAGAGGTGGCCGAAAGCAGATAGGCACTAGAACCACTGGGTCAATCTACACTTTCCAACAGGGAAATGAATGAGCACAACGTCCATTTTTTCTAAATAAAGACAAAATATTCTTTCCTACAGCCTTTGCTAAAAAAAATAGGCGCATATATTTAAACATCGTCCTAGATAAAATGTATAGTGGACACAATTCTTTCAGGTTTCAGTTCTGGGGCGAACATCTTTTCCATTGTCATTAGTTACTTTTATCAATAATCATTCTGCCAAAATTTTTTATTTACAAGTACTAATATGTACATAAAGTGATTATTTAATACCTTTTTAATAATATAGTTATCTATGATTTCACTAAATGCTGCTATATGACTAGGAGAGAAATCATTTCCTCTTTACCCCATATAACTCGAAATGTAGTTCTGAAAAAGCATGAATTCTGTACTTGTCATCTTTAATATCATGACATTGATGTGCATAATTAACCACAGCGTTTCTGTTGTCAAGTAAATGTTAATATATGAAATATTTAATTGTTTTGAATATTCCACTTGAGAGTACTGTATTACTGAGGGAAAAATGGTAAGGGTGGCCACAGGGGTGGCCAATGATTGGCTAAGGGTGGCCATGGCCACCCCTGGCCCCCCATCTAGCCCCGCCCCTGGGTTTTTTTTCAGTGATCCAATAGGCCAAGATACATTTCTGGGCACAGTGCAGCAGAATGTGTAAAAGGTCTCTGTGGCGAAAGCCGACTGGCAGGTCATCCTCCAGTCCTAATAGGCAAATCCTTGCACTCAGATGTAGATGACACTTAAATATTAGACTTAACTCTTGAACAAATATACTCTAAAACTGTTGGATATGAGAACAGCTCCATAAACAATGAATAAATGAACCTGCATCAGATTGACATTTGTTACAGAGCTCCGAAAGGTTTGACCATGCAAAGTTAGACAATATGACCCTGGAGGGCTGGCCACACAGAGCATCTCAGTCCTCAGACTTTACTGTCCTTAAGTCAGATTCCCTTTTGCTTTTTACTTTAAGAGAATTATCTACATTAAGATTACAGCGGATTTTATACGTACATTCGAAAAAGATTTAAAATGCATACTATTTAGCAAAAGGGATTCTATGGGAGATACAGCAAGACCACCAGTTAAGTCTTTTAAGTTACACAAAATAAAGTTACCTTATCGGTGATCCCATATTTGCTTTTCGCTTGTTGAAATGTAAGGATTGAGCCTCCGTCGATAATGTCTTAAAAATCATCCCCCTTCTTAAATGACCATCACCCTATACCATCCCTTGTGACATTTTATCACTGAATGTGTAAATGTCTTCTATATATTAACAGTAATGGCAATAATATTGCCCTTTCACCATTTGGCAGGCTGTGCGCTTACGAGTAGCCCTGTTCTGAACAGCATCACGGCCAAGCGGCAAAGACAACTGATTGAGGGAATGTGAAAATAAGGATGGGAGGGAATCTCTCGCAGGTTCCAGGTTCTAAGTTGCTGAGATCTCCCTCCCCTTCTTAGTTTGAGAAATAATCATTTACAATTATGCAAGTTTCTCCACATAATCATACCTGCTCTCTGTGATTGTGGTACTAATTTCATAAGTCTGGGACAATAAATGTTAAAATAACGAGTGGAGGGAATTTTCGGCAGGTTCTAAGTTTAACTAATGTGTCAGAAATGATCTAGAATGGTGTTGATAGCAATATTTGAAATAGGCATCCACTGAGCAAAGAATTTATTCATCGCACACTGACTGTAGCACATCTACTGAAATGTTTCTCCATAGAAGTATAATCCTAAAATCCGACAGAACCAGAGAGAGAAAGTTTTGAGGTTTAAACACAGAGCTTTCCTTAACAAAAGGATACTTCTCGATGAAACAAACATGATTAATGGTGGCATTGCTGAGCATTTTATCTTTATTTTATTCATTATTTTCGTTTGCTAAGGCCCTGTCAAGTGCTGGAGCCTGACAAGATTTTTTTTTTACCTAAGCAACTGATACTTGTTTATATCAGTTTTATATGCATATATATTGTTTTATCTATGGTCTCAAAATTTAAATGGATGTAAATTTAACATATGAATATTTTACCGAAATGTTTGCAGGATGTAATAATTAGATATCTCTGTTCTACTTACATTTTTAAAGCTGCATTGACTTTTTCTTTTAAATGTCCATATGGCTAATAAAGTGACTGGAACAAATCTTGGCTTGTGTTTCCTCAGCGACACTTATTAGTGTCTAGTTGCAAAGTTTGCTCAAATCTACTTCTTCTGAAGGTATGTCATGGAAACTTCTCTTTACTGTTTTTAAAATTTGAACACCCTATAACCCAACAATATGCAACCCTAGTGGTTCTTAGTAATTTGGGAACTTTCTTTACAGAGTGAGCACAGTTTTCTAACACTGACTGCATCACTTTAAAGTACAAGGAATCTACGTACAGTATATACATGCTAATGAATTGCAGGATGCAACCTTTTGTTAAAGAGATGCCGAGGTAATAGAAAATGGCTAAGTAATGGTGTTTGTCGCATTGTTCATTAATTCTGTTCCTGCCTTGGACTGCTTGACAGGATTCTGTAATTTAAAAGTTGTTTCACTCCTACACATGTCATCAGCAGGACAGCAGAGATTCCTAGGTGTATGTGGACCCCTGACACCAAAAGACGTAGGTCATCCAGCATATACTTGGCCGTTCCATTGGCTGACTCCTGGAGGAGATGTTTCAGGCACATACTCTGAATTTGGAGGAGCAGTGACTGCTCTATGAAATAAAGTCTGCAAAGTCTGTAAAATATTTACTCACTTAAAGATATGTATTCTGGTGGCCAAGAAGAAGAGGCTAATAAAGAGCATAAACCATTTAAAACTCTCAGTAAACTGACATCCAATGGTTGTATATGTCTTTATTAGAGGATAAATGTTGACAACTAATGCTAAATTACAGCAGATGAAACAACAATTTGTAGTAAAACATTAGCAGTGAAGGTAACCTAGCACAGATTAGTCTGCGTTCTTTTCCCTTCTCATCTATGCAGCTTCTAGCAGCTCATTTATTAGGGTTTCACCATATTTAAAACATTATCATCATTCGAGAGAAAAAAGTTTTAAATCACCTCATCTGTGTTGTATATTTTTGAAAAAGCTCACAGAAAAAAAACTTAGGGATGTCACAACAGGGATTTTGTTTGTCCCCCAAATAAATCTGGGTCATTTGCACATGTTTAGAGGAGTCTAAAACAAAATCAAATGTCTTTGCATTATGCTAAGTACTACCTGGTCTAAACTGTTAATGTGATCGCATTGCACTGATGCTGCAGTCTTATAAATCTGCATTTCTAGAAAGCTACAGAGATTCTACTTTAACCTGAGATTCTGCAAGACAGCTATAATAAACACATCCTCTGGAAAAGATGATAAGTCTTTAAAAGACTCACGTCTTGCTTATCATCATTAAGTTTTTCTACAGAAAATTCAGCTGTAGCATTCAGCTAGCATTAACATATTCTGTTTTGATATCACTTCTTGACATTATGCATTATAACATGTTCCCCTGGAGTAATAATTGTGTACAGACGAAATGTACAGAAAAACTACTGCTTCACAAAATTCAGCTTTTGCTTCACATATCAGGTCGTGTGACTCTGAGAGAACGGGAGCCTGAGCAGTCAGCACAGTATTTCTATCTACCTGAACTTTACTATATGGGGTGAAAAATCCTTAGAGTTGACTTACTAAAGCTTTATATGTATAAAAACACATGCAAACTTGGCAGCACAAGCAAAGCTGATCTTCCAATCACTGCAGATTGTTTATGTAAAAGGAGCAGACCAGCAGGCACAATTCATTTATTCTGTTTTCCTTCATGAATAAGCATGATGCTGATCATGATGCTGCAAAATAGTGGGAGGAGTATCTCTTATAGGGGTTAGATACTGATTATTTTTGTTCTCTTTCACATGATCCGTACAGATCCTTCCTCTTCTCCTTTGCCTATATCATCTCCACATGGAAATTATGCCTGACATATGTAAACAGTGCTGTTACAAATCATGACTGCCTTTGAAAAAGACTAAATTAATCTAATCTACTCTCCCCAAATCTCAATGGTAGAAGCCTATAACACTCACAAAGTACCTAATTTAAACTAGGGTGATCCCCACCACTTCTTACAAGTGCAATTTTTTGTTTGCACAGCAGTTTAACACTAAAATAAAGAGTGCTAAAGCTTACATTATCTTCAGAGATTATGACTTTAGGTTGTTTAGACAAAACTCAGATATGTTTGATCCTATAGATAATGTATACAGCATAAATCTTTGAAAGCATTGTACATTTAAAAATGGCTGTGCAAGCATGAACCGCCGGAGGAGGGGATAGTATCAGTAACTGAGTTTCAACATAAATTTTGTCACCATTGGTTATGAGTGGGACATATAAAGTTTTGTCAGTTGTGGGTTTATTCCCGCTAAATTGAGAGACTTGAGTTAAGCAGAACATCTTTTCCCTCAGACTTTCCTCCCAAACAACTCACAGTCATCTGGCTTTGAATGTCTGCTAGTTTTATGTCTGTTAAATAAACTCTCACGTGTTATTTGAGCAGAAGTTGCACAATTGTTTAGAAATGATTTCAACTTTTCTTTTGAAACTTGTAGCTAATAAAATATAAGTCACATTCTCATATTTTATCTTTTAACTTCTAAAAAAAACATACTAAGCCTTTTCTTGTATTTTCTTCTTTCTTTCTTCTTCTTCCAGCTTTTTATTGTCATATTTTATTCTGCTCAGAACACTTCATGAATTCCTCCAACCAGTAAGTTAAGCTCCTATTATCAGGTCAAAAGGTTTTAGATGGACTTATTGCTGAATGTCATCTGCAGCTCTTTAAGTGTCATATAGCCAGTTTCGTAGGGTTCCACTGGCATAGAGGAGGACCTGCTCATGGCTCCAGAAACAGGCTGAGCAGCCAAGCTAGTGCTGGTGCCTGTATCTATCTCAGCCACGTCCATCTGAGGGCTTTCAGGCGGCTGTATTAAAGTGGCAGGAGTGGCCGGTGGAGAGAAAGGGGGGCGAGAAGGCAACTGAAGAGGAATAAGGAGGAGAGGGGAAGGAAGTTTCCCATCACTCAGAACCTCTTTCCCTTCCTTGCAAATAACTCCTGTTTCTTTCATTTCATCTTCCTTCATGAAGCCAAAACCAGAGTCAGGACTCTCTGGTTGCCTGTTCAGACTTTCATATTCAGGATATGGAGTGAGAGGATCACACGGGGAGAAGTTGGGAATGCAGGGGAGGTTCTGAAAATTGTCTTGATAGGTGAAATAAGTCAGGTTGGGGTTGGCCCCAGCTGAGTCCCCAGAGGAGCTGGACAGGAAATAGCCCTTGTTTGAGAATGTGGAAAAAGATGAAGAGTTGTAGGGCATGTCACTGGTTTCTAAGGACGATGTTTGTGATCTTTGGAAGTGAAAAAAGGCGGTTCTGGAGCTTGAAGTTGGAGATGGGGAGGGCGCCGTCTCGTTCCAGTCCTCACAGACCTCAACATGTGAGAACTGGTCGCATGGAGGGGGTTCGAAGAAGGATTGGGTTCCAGAAAGGGGATTAAGCCATTCCTGAAAAAAACAAAACAAAGACAGGTTCATTCTTAGGAATTATAATTCTAAACAATTATACGATTGTTTCATGAAAAATATAATCTCTCCTTTCTTTTTTTACAACCACAAAGCTCAATGCATTCAACTCATATTCCATGTGATCAACATGTCTAATGTAAACGTAAATAGAAAGGGAAAATTATTTTTTGTTTATTTAATAAATGAAGATCTGCAATAATTTGGATTCATACCCATTCAGCACCCTTATTTTACTTATTATAAAGGTTGAAAAAGAGATGAATCGAAGGTTTACTAAATGGCATGAATGGGACACAGCAGACATCAGATTAAATTAAGATGAAACTAAACTTTTGCCTTCTATATGGGGACTAACTAACACAGCACACCACCACATACACTGCTCATAGTTTAACATGGTGGAGGCAGCGTGATGCAGGGAGCAAGTTTTCCTTCCTGAGCAATAATAGAAGAAAACTTTCTAGAGGCTGAAGAAGTGTCATTTCATCAAAACTGAGTTAGTCTGTCACATATAATCCAATAAAGTACATTAAAGTTTGTGGTTTTAGCATCAATAAAATATGAAAAATCTTAGGATGTATTCTATCCAATTGTAACAAGGACATGAGGTTTACTTTTAGATTTCCTTGGTGGACAGAGTGGAAGTACTCCGACGGGTTTGATATCTGCTTCCCTTTAAACAGCCTGTGAGAGGTTAAGAACAGCATTAGCTAAGGGGTAAACACCTGCAAACACACACATAATCTGGGTGCTTGATTATTTAGAAATATTTACCCCAGGGTCTTGCAGCTCTTGAATTGGGCAAGCACAAGCACAATGATGAGACATAAGCTGAGTGGAAGTAAGATCCACCTAACGGGGATCTGCTCTGGTGTTGAGTCTAAAAAAACAAAAATAATCCAGTAAGATGCAGGAATTTTACCAAGCTGAAACTTTTAGGTTAGAAGAATCACCTTTCTTTTCTGCTATTTCTTGCCATGATGTTATCCCGCTCCACTCACTCCAATGGCTGTTGTTCCTCTTGAGCGGCTTGACTCGGACTCTGACTTCCAGGTGGCCCTGAAGTTCCCCATCTCTCACCTTCATCTCTTTCTTGTCTGTGTAAAGCTTTGCAGAGTTCTAATGAAAGAGGGTTTAACAAGATTACAGAGGAGCTATGCAATAACTACCCCATCTCATCACAATAAACACACGGTCACTATTTTAGTTTAGTTTAGTTATAGGGAAGCGGTTGTTCCAATGGATGCAGTTCCGAATCCTCCCGAGTCGTGCCAGACTTTACACGAGTGAATAAAGTGAATGTGATTGGTCGTAGTAGGGTAGTAGGCTGCTAATGGGACATTAATTTGGGACAATTAGAAGCATATTAAGTAGCAATTAGAAACGACACTGTCAAGGAATGCTATGGACAGAGGAAACATGCAAGAGGAGGAGAGGTTTGTGTCGGAGGTCGTGGATGAGTCTCCTCCGTCATACATTTTTTATTTAGTTGTTGTGGAAGAGGACGCCAGGGCAGCAGAAGCTTGGTTTGGTGTAGAAGGCTTACAGCCGTACATGTTTGAGCCCTTGCATCGCGACGCTGCCAGTTCTGTTTGCTCTACGCCTGCCGAAGATGCAGACGTCAGTCCCCGTGAACACTGGGACATACCACAATGTTAAAGTAAATGATTCTTATTACTTATTTCAACCGTTGCGTATATTAGCTGCAACATATGAATCAAGATGCTATGACCGAAAAAATTAGATTGACAGATGACCGTTGATATATGATTGGCCGAATTTAGGTGTTCAGGCTGACGTATAATTAACTGGCCTGCATAAGATAACAGAAAACCCCCCCCCACAGATTTTAAGATAGGATTTTTTTAAACATAGAAATTTTCTAGCTTTTGGGACAATATTGTCTGATAAAGAGTACATTTGTATACATATTTAAGCCAGAATTATTTGATATTTAACTATCACTTCCCTACAACTTTAACTACAAGTGGAAGCAACAGCTGCTGTCATTAAACTTTTGTAAATTGAACTGAGAAATAATAACGTTTTGGGAACTCGTCCTTCTGATGGATTGATGTGTGCAGGTTCTACCCTGCCTCTCTTTTGACTACAGGCATGTAGCTTTGTTCGTTCCCTTCTAACTTTCCTCAGATCATCTTTCTTATAAAGCAAATTTTTATTTATGACATATGATTAAAATAAAACAAAAATACAAACATATGATTTTGCTGGTTTGTTAAGCTCAAGATATATTGCTAATATGCCTTTGAATTATTCAAAGATTCGAATACACATTTAAAATAAATAAATGTGACAGGTATAAATAAATAAATGTGGCAGTTATAAAAGGAACCAAAACAGCGCCTCATTTTATCTAGGGATATTTTCTGGTGCCAGAAATTTTCAGAGTTTAGATTTTTATTTATGTAGCTCTGATTCACAAAACGTGTTGTCTCTCAGAACCTTAGAAAGCAAACAGATCCAGTTCATGTAACAAACTTTTAAGTTAAATCTCCAAACCTCCTTTAAATTATCCTTAAGGTATTCAGAATCCCAAAATATGTAAAAAGTTTTAGGAAAGAAAAACACTGATATTATCTGATAAATTTAGCCCTTTAATCAGGACATAATCTAAATATTCTCAGGATTTTCCTTTAAGAAATGTATATTTTCCTTTATCATATATTTCTGTCTCTTCTCTAAGCTAATCGTGAAACCGTGAATATTGTTATGAATTCTATTAAAGTGTTGATTGATTATTATAATGATTCAAATCCACATAAGATATTCAGTGTTGTAATTATGCATCTTATTTTCTCTGCTTTATGAAACATACAACTAATGCACACAGATTAAGTAGATTTAGATAAATTATTAACAGTCTTAATGTTAAAATTATGATTATACTTCATATTATGGATAAGATCTTTAGACCAAAATCTATTTATTTAGCTTAAGTAACTGCAGAACCTAGAATGAAGATGCTTGATTAACTAATGAATTTCTCTTGCAGGGTGGCAGGGTAACATGACACCCAAAGCTCCACTGTACATCTTTTGGCAATACGGAGAATAAATGCTCACAATGATCCAAAATTTGTTGAGTTCCAGCCGCTGTTTCAGGGCAAACAGGTTAAGCTGCTAGTTCGGGGCAAAAAAAGACGATACAGGAGACCTGCCTGGCTGAACAGAAGGCTGCAGCAAAACGGGTTTTAACAGGGAAAATATAGGGGAGATGAAATAAAGAAAAGTTTGAGTTTTCTTGTTGTTCATTTCAATGAATCAAGAGACTTAAAATATTAGTTTTAAGAAATCTAATGTTGAATTTATATCAAATTTTGATTGTTTACTTTCAGTTGCTCCTGATCATCTTAAAGCCAGAAATCTAATAATGTTTACTCTTGTCCCAATCAAAGCAAAAAACTGTGCACTTAGCCAAACCTAAAGTAAAAGCAAAACAGTGATATTAAACCTTTATTACCTCAGCTTGTGACCAGGACAGGTCACATTTCTACCACATCAAAAGCTGCTCTATTTTTTTTCTTTGCATTTGACTTTATGAATGGGTTTTAGGTGGTTAATTTGAAATATGTGCAAATATTCTCACCTCCCACTGCTGTTCCTTCTGTTTGATCTGAAGCTGGTAGCTGAAGCCAAATGAATATCTTGAAACAGGTTCTCCCAGACTCCATGATATCAGGGTGAAATTGGAAGTTTTGTTGACCTGGGGAGCTCTTGGAGGATGCATTTTGACTGTTTGGATGCACATTCAAGGAAAGAAGGCTAAATAATCCATCATGCAAACACTTATGGATTTAAAGTCGGAATGCAACAATAAGGAAGCTTAGAGAGGGAATGTAACTCACTGTGTGCTGCAGGCTCGTATTTTTTAATTTCTTTCACCAGTGTCCTATTACACATTAAACGTATGGATGGCATAACTTCAGTACCAACAAAGCGCTGCATCAAAACCAGAAAAAAAAAAAAACTTTTAGTAAACCAGATAGAACCTAGGTCTGTTTTATTGGATGCATCAATACAAACTTTTGCATAATTGTTAAAAGGTGTCCCACTTTGAGCTGGTCATAACATGCAGGGAGACTAAATGAAGTTAAGGGGTGTGAGGACTGTTGGAAGGCACTCTCTTACAGACTTACTGTGTTTTCAAAGACAACACTGCAGCCCAGAGAAGATTTTTTTCGCTTTTCCAGTTTGCAGGTTCGGCTGAAAAAGAGAAAATACTAATAAGCATAGAGCTAACGGGTTCTTCGAAGTTTAATTTATTGATTTAATAAAAAAAAAAAAACTCTTTTGGCAGGCGCAATGAAAATATCTGTCACATCTTACGTGATTATTATTAGCTCCCAGTTTTCATTAGTATACTCCTTCTCTGCTGAAATCAAACAGTCCTCAGCGGAATCAACCCAAGATCCGGTCCAAGTACAGCTGACATTGTTTACAAAGTCGTTTACGCAATGAAGTTCTTAAAAAAAACAGACAGGGAGACAAGTACTTAAAAAGACTGTGCGCAAAATAGAGAACCAGTTTCATATTTCTTTGGATTTTTTTCAAACAAAAACAAACAATGATTAGGTTTTATTTATCACTGTGCATGACTTACCAGTTGGGTCTTTGTAAATGTGAGCTGGATGCACTAAAGGCAGAACCAGCAGGATGCACAGGCACCAAAGCATCTCACCAGCCAGCAACATGTCTGTACGAAGGCAGAAATCGGATGAATGCAAACAGAACCAAACGAGAAAATGCTCAACGATTCCTTCTTTAACCTGTGTTCTGAAACCTGAGAGTTGAAACCGAATCCCCCTCCCACCAAAATTGCCACAAAGCAGAGTTTTAGTGAGTGAAAACAGTCATCCAAAGAGGGTAGCAGAGGACAAGAACTACTGTACTTTTGAATGAAAAAGGTGAATATAGAGTCTCGGTATGATGCCTTTCATGATGTATATGATCCAACCCATCTTCAGGCTAGAATTGGTCGGATGGATCAAAATTCAATTAATCCTAAATTAAGGAATTCTTTGAGTAACGTTTAGTTGGAGTTAGTTGAATGCGCATCTTTACAGAATTCAATATAAAGGCTAAAACACCAGCAATCAACAATTTGGGTCCCAAATAAGCTGTACCGTTCCAAGTCCAGCAGACCCTCAGCATGATACCAATAACACCATGCATTAGAGGTGGTGCCAAGTTTAAAAGACCCATCTGACCATTAAATGTTTCCCCAGAATGGAAAGCTGCAAATATAATTAAAGGTTTTAAACTGGAGCAGTCCACAACATTGATGTTGGGATTCTGAGCTTGAGTGGTTCCTGGGTTTTTCAGAAACCAGAGGTGACGGTCGGTGTCAGAGTGAAGCTTCAACGCATAGATTCCTAAAACATTCATCAAAACAGGGCTTAAATGGATGACATCTCTGGAATGGTCTTAACTTTTGCTTTAAACTCAGGCTTATTGCATAATTAACAAGAAATTAAAACTATTTCTGGCTTGAAGAGGGATCAGGTGTCCAGAAGGAGTTTCACCTAAAGGCTGTTAATTGTTACAAAATATGTAGTTTGTCTTTAACTTAAGGGTTATGACAGTTATCGAATTAAATATATACATAATTATAAACATGTTTGCGTTACAGGATCTATGCACACAGTTATTCAACCGGATTGTCTGAAACATATTTAAATTAAAGAAGAATTCAGCTCTATTAATAAGAGTCAAAGCTGATTAGAATAGGCCAATAAGTGTATGTAAACGTCCATTTAAACCTTTATAGAGAAACTTGATTGTAATAAAATTGATATTTGAAATAGCTTCTTATTGCCAGTATAAATTAATTGACTTTATGTACCATAAAAAAAGACTAAAAATCAAAGTCATTTAGAGATATAGTTCAAGATAAGACTTTTATTAAAAGTCTGCCTGTCGGTTGTCACTTTAATTCAAGCAGAAAGAGTTGAGTTATCTCATAGTTATGAGAAAATCTGTAACCTAAAGGCTAGAAGGATATTAAGTATTTTATTTGCATCTATTTAAAAAATCTGTACCAAAAAATGCTTATTTTTCTTTTTGTATAATAGGTAGTTGATACTTTCTTAGCAGATTAGAATAAATTACCTCATGTGTCCTGGCAGCAGGTGGTCAGCGAGATGAATGACATCTTAACGTCGTCCTCCTCCGGCCTGATGATTTGATTAGATATCCTTTATTTCTCTCTCTCTCTCTCGTCTCTTCTCTTTCTCTCTACTTCAGCACATCTGACGTCTACTCTCTCTATTCTCGCCCCTTTTTTCTTCTAAGTGCCCAGTGACATTTTCCATTTGAAACCACAGCTTGCAGGTTTGACAGGAAGCTTCAACAGCGGTGAGTGATAGTGAGAGGGGACGGGCCGGGTTGGTAGAGGTGCTGCCGAGCATCGGGGGCTATCTGTCTTGCAGGGTGCCTCCTCCTCATCGTCTCCTGCAGCAGCCAGTCACCATACCTGAGCCCAATCACATGCTTTAAGGTTGTAATAATTATACCGAAGGAAGAAACGCAAAGCAACACCACATCCTGTTTCAATTGCAGCGTAAAACAAGGGGGTTTATGCATAGAAACTTAAAGCCCTATGAAGTGGTTTGCATGGATGAAACCCAGCTTAAAAAAGCTGATTCAAAGGAGTGGAGAGGCTAAAGCTACCAGATTTAGAATCATGGGGGGAGTACATAAAAATAAGATATCTCTATCTCTCTCTGAAACACACACAGTCTGTAAAGACAAAAGAAAAAAACAAAACTGCTGTGATGGCCACAACCACTGCAGGTGCACATAACTCTGTCTCTGAGAGGAAAATGGACTGACAGTTAAGAAAGAAGCCTTCTGGTTAACCAGAGGACAGAAAGCATTTTAATAAAGCAACAGGTCTTTAGATGTGTCCATTTGATAGAGTGTGAACCTAAAATGCCTCACCTGATTACGACAGAAATAAAATGAAAATATGAGAGAAATAAAAACCTACATTAACAACATAATAGCCTTACAAAAGTATATAGCCTTAAGGAGAGAAACGTCTGAAAATGTCTTTTTTTTTTAGGAACGATTAGTTCTGAACTCCATAGTTTTTTTCTTTTATGAAAGAAACAGAAGAAGCTGTTTTGCTCCATATGAGTTAACAAACAGCAAAAAACGGGGGCGCAGCATCAGTTCCTCACTTGGGACACAAAATCTGGTCAGAGTTCATAAGTTGAAAGACGGTAGGAACTTCTATACAAGCCGATTTTGGAACATATACCTTAAATACGCCAAAGTTTGTGGTTGTAACGTGCCACCATAAGGACTGATGTAAGGGGCTGCAATAGGTTTTTCAAAGGAACTGAGTCTACTAATGTTATAGATTTATTAGGATTTACATAATCTAGGAATATCTGCATAACAAAAGTCATAGAGCGAGAAAGTGAAATGGTTTGGTGACAGTATTGTTCAACACAAGCTCATCGGCTTGGCAACAAAATGTCAACAGAAAGACGAAGAGAATGTGACACAGAAATGGTTTGATAAGATTGTAGTTATCATCTCTGGCAAAAAAGTTCAGAGAAAGGCCATTGTGAAACACGCCTCCATATGCCATATAGTGTAAACGTATAAACCACAAGGCATTTATGTTTACAACGCAGAAACTGTTGCAACATTCAGTGTCTGATCTCAGCAGTTTACTAGATTTTTCTGACTGAGTGGGTATGCGGGACCAGAGGCTGGTGTTCCTGCAGTTATGAAGCTGTGGGCAACAGCTAAACGTGCTGAGGGGGGGGCAGAAAGGTGCAAGAGCAAAAACAAGAGCATGCAACGCTCCCCGAAAGGTCAGATTTCACTCTGCTAAAGCTGAAAGCCACTAAGACGACCATAACTATGAATGCATGTGCGGTGGGTGCAGTGGGGAAGAGGTGAGAACAATAACAAGCCTGTCTTCGCTCATTCTGCAAGGGCTCTGTAGAAGCAAACAACTTCCACTTTATATAGACATCATCTGATTAATTCAAGCTTTTATGAGAAACGGATGCTAAACATGTTCTTTCTCTCATACGTCGTTTAATGACTCATCAAACAGAGAAGTAAACTGTAAAATATGTTCAGTTCCTGTAAAGTGGGACCTGAAGTGACTAAGCTCAATATCCTGTGATGCAGAAAGCTGCACATTAAACAGAGTCCGTTGTAACACTTGACGCCCACCAGGTCCAGAGTTAAAAGAAACAAAAGTAACTGAGAAAGCAGGAAAAGTTAGCAGCCGTGCCTCCGACTCGGGCTGAGGGAGGAAAAATGAAGCAGAACAAAAAGAAACAAAGAGAAAATAATGGTTTTCAAATGATTATATTACTTCAACAAGAAAAATATCCAAGGCAGCCCCTGCCCCCCTCCACCCCNCCTGCAATTTAGTTCAAATACGGAACTTGTAATTGTTTATCCAAAAGCTGCTAAAAACCTTCAAATTAAACATGAATAATTTAATAAATATATAATATGTATTCTAAAATATAAATTTTGCATGATATATAAAACAGAAAGTAAATGTAATACATTTGCAGCCATAGTAACAAGTTCAGGAAGATTTCTAGTTGGACGCATAAATGTAAATGTGATCAACAATTTCCTGCTTCATATTGCTAAAGACGTCTTGCAGTAATAAATGGGCTATTTTTCTTCCAAATCTTAATTCTTAAACATTGCAGATCCGAATGAAAAAGAAATTTAAATGTGGAGACATTCGTCATCTCTTTGGCAAAAAAAGCTGAGGGATGAGAAGTAAGAAAAGAGGAGGATGAGGAGAATGACGTTAACTACCCAGCGCAACAATCATTGACATAAGCTCTTTTAAAAGGGATGACTGGAATCAGTCCTTTTATGTAATCTAAGTTATTTTTCTGAATTTGAGAAGAGATATGTAAGCGAAAACAAAACAATAAACATTCTGAAGTCTTTTCTTTTTTTTTTTTGTTCATTCAATTTACTTATAAGAGATTTCTTACAGTACGTATTTCGATGAAGAGGTCCAGCTTCACCACCCTGCCTTTACATTTTCTGCTTCTTTTACTTATTTTCCTTCAAATGTTGCGATAACTATCCATCAGAGAGACTTTTACATGGCCGTGGATGAATTTTGGCGGCTCTTGTTCGTCTTTTTCAATTTCAATTTCAGATTTTGTTTCCAAAACTATAATTTTGTCTTTTTTTCAATCTCAGCTCGGGCTTAAGGTCGGATTCTCCTTAAGGATTTTCTGCCTAAGGTTAGGATTAATTGTTCTTTAATTTCAGCCGATTAGGTCCTGAAAAAGCAAATCAGACCCAGAGCACCACACTACCACCACCATATCTGACTGGGGCATTTTTCTGGTATGGTGTTCTAGTTTTATGAAAACTATAAAAGAAACTGTAGAGGTGGTTATAAATGTAAATAATAAAAATAAATAAATTTTTAAGATATTTATTCCCCTCAACTGAATGAACATACTCCAATAAAAGTTATTGAAATGTTTGGTGTGACATCACTGTTCTAGAAAAGCGCAGCTACACAAATTTACTAGAAATGGTCAGAATGTTGCAGGGTTTTAAATGATGAGAAGATGCTTCTGTTGTTTTGCTGAATGCAGAGGAAGCTCATCAGCTGGATGTCGATTTCGACAGTTTGTGCATGACGTTGAACCCAACTTCACACACTTCCCTCAACCCTCTTTATCTACGTGCTAAAGAATGGATCAGTTTCTGTGGTTTTTGTCAAAACCACCCCCTTTTCTGCTCTACATGTCACACACTGAGAAATAAACGCTCCACTCTGCAGGCTGAGTAAGAGCTGGGACATCTGCGTGGTCAATATGACCTATTTTAGTCAACCACCAGATGCTTGGAACATGGGAAAAAGGTTCAAAACTAAAAGAGAGAGTAAAAAAGTACATTAAGTCTTACCTAGATAGTTAGACTGTGGTTTAAAGCCAACTTTAACGGATCCAGATTGACTCTTCATTGTAAACTCGAACGGAAGATGTTTGTATTCTTCAAGAGTTTTTCTTGATCCTACTATGGGGGATTTAGGTACTTTCCCCTGTTATTCCCCTTCACTATCAAAATGTAAAAATAAGGTTTTGCCATTCAATTTGCTAAATTTGACCTTATCTATAACAAAAATGGCTTTATTTCGATATGCTTTGCCATGTCCTTTGCTGGTTTCACAAACAATTCATGTTTCATTCAACCCTAAGAGTGAATCTTTCTGATTGTTTTAATCACTTTCTCCTTTCCCTCATGATATCCCTACACTGTTATTAGTGATTTGTCCTCCTCTTCAGTTTAATCAAACCATCCATCCATCCACTTTCTCAGGAATCGAACCCAGAACCTTCTTGCTGCAAGGCAATAGCGCTACCCACTGCATCACCGTGCAGCCTCATGGAGTTAAAACCCGGATAACTCTATTCACCCTTTCAATGTAAAAGAACAGCAAGTCAAAACTGTGAAAATGGTTTTTCTTTTATGTTTTATTTGAATTAAATTGAATTAAAAAAACTAAGCAAAAAGAGGAAAATGATTTATAAGAGTGTAAAATGCTCCTTTTAAAGCTGTAGTTGGCTTGATTAGGATAATCACAGGTCAGTGATGTTTTAAAAGAAAAGTCCGGTCATTAAGGAATAACCAATGGGTCATTATTTACACCTAAAGCTAATGCGTTTGCTGTGATTTAATGAATTTAGCTTTAATCAGTAAAAAAATAAAAACAATATCACTGAGTTTGGGACCGGCGATTTTTGCCCATATATAGTAACACCTCACTCCTGACATCTTCCGGCAGTGACGTCACGGTGCTGTAAGCTTACCGCCATTCTCCCCGCTTTACAAGCAAAATCTAAAAGGAACTAATAGACACATCTGCAATCAACAATTATTTAAGATTTTGAAAAAACTTCATCATTGCTATTCACGAGAGCTATAGTTAAGCTGACGATGCCCACATGCATGGCAGTTGGGTGTTTTAATACATCGGGTAAAAATGAAAAAAAAAAAAATAGTTATTTTACTTTTCTAATTCATGATCCTCCACAGGTTCGTTGTTGGATTGCCAACTTGAACAGGGAGGATTTGCCATTGAACTTCTGCCAGAGAGAAAACATGTCATTAATCTTTAACTCTCTGCTTTGCATGAAATTACTCTTAATCAAAAACACTTTGAATTTAAGCAATAATATAATTTTTAAAGTATTTTCAGAAGTTTGTATTCTGAATGTGACCGGACTTTTCCTTTAAGAAGTTTGCATTTATATCAGTCCTAGGACATTGTATTTATTTGCTTTTATAAGAACAACTCCAGTGTCTAGCCACATATTCTTAACTCCATCGCAGTGCAGTTCACACCTCAGCCCTTAAACCAAACCCTGACTATAGAAAGACTTTGCAAGATCCGTCTTCAGAAAGAACCTAAAGGTCCTAAAGAGGCAACATGAACAGAATCCCCTACGCCCACACAGAGCACAGCTCTGCCACACCAGTGATGAGTGTCCAAATTAACACACAGCGTGAACCATACAGCCTAAGTGTGTGCCTTGGTGCTGAGCTAGGAAGCCGGACCTCATTTTGTGGTTTCACCAGGTTTTTTTTTCCATTTCCTTTCAAAGTCGTTTCAGCTTCTGGTAAATAACTCTTCCCTCTTCCTTTTCATTTACTGGATTTTAAAGATGAAGCAAACTGGTTAACTTTTTCCTGTAATTCACTCTATAGATGAATGCCAAACAAAGACACACCTGGCTGCATGGATTGATGAAAGTATGTTTTAGCTTTTGACACCATAGTGACCGTTTTTACGTTGTAAACAAATGGAGGAGAGCTTGCAATTTGAAGCGTTGTCAGTTAGACTGATATGACACTGTCATAAACGTAACACCTGTCATCAACATGGAGTCTTTATAAATGTTCATGACTGGTAAATAAATGTCATTTTGCAAATTACAAAATGCAGAGTTGAAATTGTTTAAAACGATTGTGTTATGACCACTTAACACTAACAGACCCCAAAAATGTTTTATAATGACAAATTGACATTAACCAAGAAATCATAGCCCATCAGAAATGTCTAATCATAACAGGACAAATTATAAACCCTTGAAAAGTATGTGTAAACATTTCATTACAGTCACCATCAACCTCATGTCATGTCAGTTTAAGGATTAATATCTCCTCTCTTTCTGTATGAAATGAAAGAGGAATTTTCCTCTGCTCATTTTACCTTAAAGTAGACAGGTGGTTGGAAGGTGGTGTGAAAGAAGCCATTTATGTTAAGAGAAAAAACCTTAAACAGAGGGGATGGTCTTAGGTTTCAGCAAATATCTCTCCTGTTCAGCCAGGCCGACAATTGCCCCAAACAACCCCTTTTTCAGAGGCATAGACCAGAATCGGGTATTGTTGGCTAACAGAAAACCCAAACGACTCCCCATTCCTACAGCCCATGTCACACCTTGACGATTTAGCCAGCCTATGCCTGACATTTGAAAAATCTGGCAAAAATACTGGCTTACGTTGGATAAGTTATGGGTATGTTTTACACACTGAAGCATGCTGGCACACGTCGACATACAGCAAGCATGTCGACAAATGTTGAGCATGCTCTGGTGTGGTGTCTAGCTTATCCAAAATCAGTAACTTGTGCATAACTTATGTATGACTTATCGAGAACTTATCTCCAATGCATATCGTGTTTGAGGTGTTCCAGACGACCACTGAATGTGTTTCTAACCTACAGCTACTGTATAATGGTGTATTGGCAGCTTTTTGGTATTAAAGGGGGTTCACTGGAGGAACCTGTCAGTTCTGCTGCTGACTCATCATGAATACACCATGTATGTGCCCAAAATTGAAAAAAAAAAATACATAGAAATTTCAGTGTATGCCAGAATTTTAGAAGATTCTGAGGTGTCAGGCATACGCTGGCTAAATCGGCAAGGTGTGACTTTGCCGCCAGGGGCGGACCCTTTATTCCGGTTCAATTTGCATATTTTCTAAGCCAAGAAAAGGCTTTGTTTTGGTCCACTCTATAAAGTTACGACCTTAATGCTAATTCTGACGTTTTGAATTAAAAAAGTGAAATATCTTCAAACTTGGAAACAAACTCCAGTGGATTTTTTTTTTTACTTTTTTGGAAAACCTTAAAGTAGATTTTCCCACATCAGACTTATTTTCTGGCTCATCTAGTTTATAAATAATGATGCATTCTGCTCCATCACCAATCAATAGACAGACTCGTTCCACATCTCTACCTGTCTGTCATCCTGCAATTCCACTAAGCCTTAGTGGAACTGCAGGGGTAATTCCCATTAGCTTAGTGACTAAGCTTATGGGAATTACCACATTGACTAGAATGGCCTCTATTTGCTACGTAACGGAGGACACCACCCCTCACAGTGAAAACAACAACAAATAGCTAGTTTTAATAGTTTGTATTAAAAGTCTGAAATTTTGTTGAAAAATTACTTTACTTGAATTTGCTTGTAGAATATCGACAACCTCTACTTTAACCTCTACTTGCCCATTAAATCTTTTTTAAAAAGTTTGAAAAAAATGTTTACACACATCTCTTCTGCATAGCACTAGTTACATAATTATACACTCCTTTTATGTATTATAAGGCATATCGAATGGTAGTTTACCATTCAATTCAAGCAACAATTCCAGATCCATTTAAGGATCTTAAAGATACATAACATGACTTAGACTCAACTTTATTTATCCCTTGGTATTACTCCTTCAGGGAATTTTTGGTTCCAGTAGCTTATATAAAGTGCGAAGGGTTAAAACAAGATCCCATTACTGATAAAAAAAAAATAAAAATATATATAAAAGACAATATAAAAAGAATGTAAAAGTACAAAAAAAGCATTAATAAAAGAAAAATATTGTTATGTTCTGGAATATTTTCCCTTAGATATAAAAATATCTGTACAGTAGAGAGCTAACAAATAATAAAAGACAGTAATAAGCTTTATTTCTGTCTGCTTTGTGGCTTCTTTCCGAATAATGACCACAAAGGCAATGGTTTACTTGCAAGTTTCTAGCTACGGCTAACCTTTACAGAGCTCAGAAACAACCTGTGGATCATGAAAAGGAAACAAAAGCAATGTGTTCTCTGAATCACTGAGCAACCTTTAAACCGGTCCCAAAAAGGTCTCCTGTGTTTCGCTGGGATTCTATTAAAAAGGAGACTTAAGATGTTATAAGATTGCAGCTTGTTATGTAAGCATTGCTTTAAGTTTGTCTTCACTGCTCCAATAAAGTCTCTAGAAAGGTATTGTCACCCCTATATTTGGAACAGTTTATTTTGTCTCTACTAAAAGACCAGCACATCTCACAAAGATAGACGTGTTGAAAAAAAAAAAAAATAGGTGAACAACCACTGCATAGCAACTGGGTAGGAAAAGGAGGAAAAAAAAATGTTTTTTTACATTGGTTTCATGTTGTTTTGGTCAACTGAGGTCATATCGAGATGATAAACCGCTGGAGGTGTAAGAAAAAACAAAAGGTGTTAAATGTGTTATATTTCTTTAGAATGTTGCACAAAGCAGCTTTAAGCATTACGTTAGGTTTACTTGCAGGCTAAAAATAAACCAAAAAATAAAACACGCTGCAGTTACAGCAGCAGGTTCTAAAGGGTGTGGCAGGTCTTAGGGAGGAGATATTCTTTAACAATTTCTTTTTTCATCGGGGGGGGGGNCATTTTTTGTCCTCATCTGATCAGGTCGTCTACAGCCCTGTTTACCAGTGGTGTCTAAAATACACACATTTGTTACTTAAGTAGAAGTATAGATACTGCAGTTTAAAAATACTCTGGTAAAAGTTGAAGTTTTAACTTGAGCTCTTGACTCAAATAAAAGTGAAAAAGTTTGTGCTCCAAAAACTACTTAAAGTATAAAAGTATAAAGTAACCTTAAAAAAACAACAACCAGGTGCCACTATTTGAATTGAAAGCTCAATTCTTCGACTATTTGAAAATATTTTTGAGATAGGGCCAAGGATGAGGGAGGCATCAGTCTCAGCAGACTTCCCTCTCTCCAGACACCTCAAGCTCTGCTAAGGGAAGCCAGAGACATCGTCCCTCCAGCGTGTCCTCGGTCGTCCCCTAGCCTTCCTCCCGTTGAGACATGCCGGGAACAGCTCCCCAGGGTGCCACCTAAAAATGTCCAAGCCACGTCAGCCGACTCCTCTCAAAGTGAAAGAAAAGAGTCTCTATTCCGCTCCTCTCCCTTTCTTTTGAGGGATTGCCCAGCCACCCTGCAGAGAAAGCTCATTTCAGCCTCTTCTTTCCAGAAACTCGTTCTTTCGGTCATGATCCAGATTTCATGACCATAGGCGAGGGTAGATCCGTAGACTGACCAGTAAATCTACTCTCCCCCCACTACCGAACAGGACCCCAATGTACTTCAATCCTTCCACTTGAGGAAGAAACTCTTCTCCATCCTGAATGGGACAAGCAACCTTTTTCCGGTTGAGAACCATGGCCTTGCACTTGAAGAAACAGAACTTTCTCCTGGCTGCTTCACACTTGGCATTGAACCGAAAAATTAATGCAACTAAAAAGATTTTAAAAACAATCAGCTTTCAAATCAGAGAGGCTCTCAATTTTGGTGACATTTAGGAAAAAGACGCTGACTTTCTCATTCCAGCCCTTTAGCCCTCTACTTTAGAATAGAGAAAAAGGCATTAACAAAAAACTTTTTCTTCAATGGGATATTAATATTTAAAATATTTGAAAAAGCTGTTTCCAACCCAATGACAACATAAAATAGATCTAAAAGATATGACGATATGAGGTACGGTAATTTAAGGGTGGCAACTGCTAAAATCTGATAGAATTAGCATTTTCATTTTTTCTTTTTTAAATGTTTTATTATTTTTGTCTCATTTTAGTGCACAGCTTGCATTACTTGCCAATAAAAGTGATTGAATTGAGTTGTTTTGACATAGCGAGATGCTTGGAATAGTTTGGAATGGCTCTGTAGGGCAAGAAATCTGAAAGCCTTGTTTCACTCCATAAAACACTCTATAGAAACATTGACATGTTCTTATTTTCTCTTTATTTGACAATTTTACATTTTTTATTTCCCCTTCTTACAACAATACCACATACATCCAGCTAAAATAATATAAAACATTACTTCCACAGTTTGTTATTTATATTATTTACATGCACTCATTTAGTTAAGAGGCCAAAAAAACAAAACAGAAAAAACTCAGGCCTTGGTTTATTAACAAGTGCACTTTCTTCAGTTCGCTTTTGCTGGAGAGAGGCTATTCCACTGAGGATCCTTCTGCTCCTGAGAGCCTGCTGGACTTGTTCGTGGAGACGTGGAAGTCATTGGTTCAAAACGACCGAGTGAAAGGGGCCAACGATTAACAGTCACCGCTTTGCTTGCTTTCACAATGGAGCTTACCTACATGAAGCTTCGGTATCTTTGGAAGAGGAAAACACCTTGATATTGCAGGTGGATGAATTTTTTCACCGTTACTAAACATTTTTACTTTCAGCTGGATTCACAATAAGAATCTAAACACTAAGCATCTTAAACTGGAATAACAGGAGTGTGTGGAGCAAAGGCTTGACCCTTCATGCTCTCCCTGAACCTAAATATACTGAACTACTAGATAACAACTTCCTTCAGAACCAATTTCGTGTCAAATATACAGATTGTCTTTTCCTTTAATTGACTTACACCTAATGGGTGTTTACAAAGCAGCTCCTACTCTTCAGCAGCCTTAGCTCCAGCTGCAGTCACACTAACCAACATAAGCACACTTATTCTGAGCTCCGATGGTTGGATGAAAGCACAGTGTGTAAAATATTGTCCTTTACTGCAATCAACTGAGGGTTTCACAGAAAACCGAGACATGGATTCTTATTTTACAGCCTGTTGACACTTTGTATAGTATTCAGGGAAGGAATGAGGAAGTTTAGCATCCGCTGTAATACGAATGCATCTAAAATGCATAAACGAATGTACAATCAGAGTCCTGTTAAGCTTTCAGCGTTTGAAAAGGGATAAAGAAAAAATGTTTGCATTTCACCTGATGAACAGTGTAATAATACTCTAAACAGATTCTTATTGGAGTGGTCCTTCAGCTGCTGCCGGCCTCCTCTAACCAGGCTTATCCACTCTATGTGGGGGCAAACTTCTTGGCTTGTGCCCTGACCCGCTTCTCGTAGTCCATCCTGTTCTGACTGGAAAACATAAAAAAAAAAACAATATTAAGGTTTTTAGCCTCCGCCTTTTACTCAACTCCAGGGTCAGTTTCAGAGGTTCAGATGCTCTCACTGCTAGTAAGGATGCTGACTTTATTCCTCGGATTTATCTTAAAATGGAATTTGACATGGAAGAACTTACATTTAAGGTATATATTTCTACAGTTAGGGTGTTTGGGAAATTAAGGGAGGGAGGGAGGAGCCGAAAAGGAAAGAAGCAATGTCACACAAAAAAAAGAAAGAGCAAAAGAGGTAGGAAGCAAAGAAAGAATGAAACGTGAAGGATCGTAAGAACATAAAGAAAGGAAGCAAGGACAAGAAAAAAAGAGGAAGGAAGCAATGAAACAAAAATAATAAAGCAAGAAAGGAAACAAGGTCACAAGAAAGGAAGCAAGCTGGAAGGAAAAAACTACAAGGAAGAAAGCTAAGGATAAAGGAAACAAGAAGTATGTAAGAAGACTAGGAAGGTAAGAAGACCCAAACTAAGGACACAAGAAGCGAATCAAGGGCAACAAAAAAGGAAGAAAGGACACAAGGAAGGAAAGAAAAAAGGGTACAAGAAAAGGAAGGAAGCAAGATGGGATGTAAGAGCACTAAGAAGGAAAGTGGAAGAAAATGAAGCAAGGGAAGAGGGGAACAACAAAGGAAGAAAGCAATGACACAAGCAAGAAATGAAGCAAGGGAGCAAATGAAGGAAAGAACAGAAGGAAGGAAGCAGCAACAAGAAAGGCAGGCAGGCAGCATCTAGATAACAGAGGATCCCAAATATTTCAGCCTGTAACCCCATAAAGACACTCTAAAGCACATATAATTACTTCATTTTATATTCATTTATAAATAAATAGAAATCATATCCATTTTTTATAACATTTTATTTTCTACATAACCTTTTTATTATTTAATTGTGCATTTTAAATTTTAAAGATATGTTTAATATTTAAATTATGTCTTTTATATATAAATAACCATTACATCTAGTTATATTATGGTTGGTACATCTATGTATATTATTGTGTATTTTTGTCCTTCATATAACTCAAAGATCACATCACTAATTGTGAAAACAATCTTAGACGTCCTACTTGGTGTCTCGTGACCCCTACTTTGGGATCCCCGGGACTACAGGATACAGGGAGAAAAGTTCTTTTTAATTCTCCTTAATAATCCAGATAGAAGTGAGAGGTTGCTGATCAAAAACAATCCATCAGCTTCAAAGTCAACATCTGCATCGAGTTTGCTTGTTTTGGTTCTCTCCGGGCACTCCTGCTTCCTCCCACAGTCTAAAAACATGACTGTTAGGTTGATTGGCTTCTCTAAATTGTCCTTAGGAGTGAATGTGTGCATGGTTGTGTGTTTTTGTGGAGATTAATCTAAGAATGCATGAACAAACTGGACCTTGTCCACCTAATTTTTTATTTTTAAATGGTAAATGGCCAGTACTTATAAAAAGCTTTTTCAATTCAGAGGACTTTACACTACATTTAGTCATTCACCCATTAACGCACATACTGATGGTGGCAAACTACATTGTAGCCATTGTACCCTGAAACTCACTGACAGAAGTGAGGCTTCCGTACACTGGTGCCATCGAGCCCTCTGACCACCATCAGTAGGTAATGCAGGTGTAGTGTCTTGCCCAAGGACACAACAACACTGGTTTTTAAACCATATCAAAGTTTTATGTTATCTATCAGTTTAAATAACACAAAGGATTAGAAGCCCAAAAGGATTCCCATGGTTACTGTATCTAAACTGTCGACCACTTTATAGCAGGTTGAGTTGTACAGGCAGGTACTCACCAGTAGATTGTGTAAGCTTCTGCTTGTGCTGGGTCCTGAATATTGGGCTCATTCAGCAGCTCCTGGATACCCAACAGGATCTATACAAAAAATATTCAAGTAGTGCTTTAATTCTGGACTCCTTACATAATCAAAAAACACTTTTTGTTTTATAGCATGATAAAACTTAGACAAATACACAGAAAACAGAGCTACAGTGCGTTTTGTTAAGACTGAAGGGGGATTTCCATCCTTACTGCTGCATAAGTTTAGCCCTTGACCTGGTGGCGCCCCTTTCTCTTAGCTACCGCCACACTTAACCTATGTTTGAACATGTTAGCTTTAAAACCAGTATTAAGCTTACCGGTATGTCTAATCTGCTGACTGACAAACCATGATGAATTTATTTGATATTCTTACTGCTAAGGTAATTTTTGTTTTTATGGTTATTTTAAGGTACCTGTTGCAGCTTAGAGTCAATGTGTGACAAAATTCCCAGTTTGAGATAAACACCTACATAACCTGAAATCACTTCCATAAAAGTAAAAATAAGTATAAGGTTTTGTAATTAATAAAAAATAAAAATATATATTTTTTCTGACTAAACCAAAGTGCCACTAGTGCAGCAGGTTTTTATCATCAGTGCAGACAGAGAAGCTGCTCTGTACTGTAAAGCCAACTGAAGAGCTGACCTTTACCTGCTTTAGTACCAAGACTAATGCACTTCACTGTGCTAGACTGGCTGTACTGAGCAGCCTTCTTCTATAGGTGGTTAATAAAAGACGAGCGACAGTTAAAAAAAAAGTGTTTTCAAGGACAGAAGTCAAATAATGTTGCATCATTTCTGCTCATCTTTTTAGCACTGCTCCTAATTTCTTAATTTAGCATAAATAAAAATTGCTATTTAAAAGCATCATAAGCGCAACATTTGTGCAGAACTACAGCAAGAGAGTAAAACACGAAAAACAAAAAAAAACTTTAATAAAGGCAGGGTTTAAGAAAATGAATACAGTGCATCAGGTAAAACAGGGGGCACCTTCATTTATACAATTTGTTTCACATAATTTTATGCTTTAACTGCAAGATACTTGTACTCTGCACCTGAATTGCAAATTGGTTTTAGACAGAGGTGGGTAGAGCACACAGTCAGTACCGGTTTGTAGCTCATTATAACATGTAAAATTTAAGAATATGTAGTAAAGCCAGATCTAAATTTAAAGTTTGTGCAAATTCTAGTATTTTAAAGATTATAATGAAATAAGTAAAGCAAACAAATAATGTTACTGAAAAATAACTATTGCAGGGGGAAGAACATTTTTTCAGACCGATTTTCTTTAAACCATAAAACTTATGAAACTGACAGCTTCAGCAAAAATATTTACTCCAAGCATTACGGTAGGTATAGATAAGCTAAAAAAAAAGAAGACTCATTTTGACATAAACATAAACTGTGCGTCTTTGTCTTTTTTTTTTTTAACAAGCTTGCTTATTATTCAGTGAAGTTACTCACGTATGATGGAGAAGCCAAGCATTTTACTCAAGGCAGAATGGCAGTATTTTATAAAGATACTACTCAATGCGAAGTAAAACTAATGTTGCACTAAAACTGCTCCTAAAAGTATATATTTATATATACACTCAAGTAACTGTGACTGAGTTAATGTAACTAGTTACATCACACCTCTGGTTTTAGCAATTAAGATGATGGCTTCAAAAGTGTCCCATAATGGTTAAATTTCATGTGTTTAGTTAAAAGCCATTTGTTTATTAACCAATGCTAATTTCAATTGGTTCTTTCAGTTTGTACTGGAGCAGATTCTTTTTTTAGAAACTGGATGGTTGAGGCACCATGCAGCTCAGATGTAGAGAAGGACACCAAACTGGATACTGAAGCTTTGGTGGTTTGATTTCAAGTCTTCTCCTTCTCTGCATGTCAAGCTACTGATTAATTAAGGCCACGAACACACTGGATTAAATTAAACTCCATTATTAGAATTAGTTATATCTGCAAAACTGGTCAAATGTGGTCCAGTTCTATGCAGTAGGAAGCACAGCCCCATCAGTCCCAGCACTGAATCTCAACAGATGAGAACTTCAGCCAAATGTGAGATCACAAGAGTCCAAACCTGCTTGATTGTGATGGCCGGTCGCCAATCTTTGTCCTCCTCCAGGATGGACAGACACACAGTGCCGGATGGGTAGACGTTTGGGTGGAATATCGGTGGCTCAAACTTGCCTAGAGTAGCAACATTAGAAATAAAGTAAAAAAAAAAGGTGAAATACTAAATGGAGTCACTAAAATCAATGTAGTATTGGAGAAATTCAATATTACGAGAGGATCTATAAGAACAAAGTCGTATAAACTTGTAAAAAGAGCCTTTCAAAAACCCTCATACCCCTATTTTGTTGTTTTAAAACCACAAATACAATGGCTGTTATTGGGGTTTAAAGAGAGGAAGCATTCTCTTCCTCACAGATAAAATTAGGAGCATATTTGTGTCAATCCACCACACGAAATACCTTTAAGATTGCATTAATATTTGTGGCTGCTATGTGAGAAAATGTTAAAGGGGTCTGAGTTCTTCAGTAAAGAGTTGTAACATCTCTAAACACACCGTGCATCTTCCAATATCAAAATAAACTCCATTTAAAAACCTTGGAGAGTAGAAATTCTACAAATCTATCCCATACCATTATATAACTCTGAAAGAAAGGCTGTGAAACCTTATATTATCATAATTGCATATGAAAAAGAAAACAACACCTGTTTCATGTAAGGTTTGCGTTTTGCACAAGGTAGTGCAACAGTTACACTTTATACACAGGCTTTTGTGGCCAGAACTATTATTTCCTGAGCTCTTCCTGCTTCCATTTTAAATAGATGGCTCAATCTTTATTTGCTTCCTTTGACATGACAGCTTCTATGTACAAAGTAGGAAGAAGAGAGCAACTCACATTTGGGTGGAGAGGACGGGTAGTCGTCTTTAAACAGCATTCTTAGCTTGTAAAGTCCCCCTTCCCACAAAGTCTGAGAGATGAAAGAGTAAAAGAGAGTTTTTACGAAGCAGCCATGAAAGGTGGACTGAGCAGCTAATTATCTGTTATTGTTATTTTGTAGGCAGAAATGAAATAAAATATAAAATAGTATAAAATTTAAACTGTTGGACACAAATGTGAAAGCTGTTAGGAAAAAACCCAAAGTAGAATGGTGAAGCTCTAACAATTGTCATGTATTCAGTGTCACACCTACAAAAAACATTGTGTTCTATGGACATTGATTGACCTAATCAAATGTGTTTATTTTGTTTTAGGTAATTGAAATAAAAATGAAAACTAAACCTTGAAAAACTAACTGAAACGCTAAATTCTTAGAGAGAATCAGCTTAGTTTCTATTTGTGTCTTTATCATAATCCATTAATATGAGGTCCAGTTTTTTTGCTTTATTTTGTTGTACCACATTATGCCAGCAGATGGCAGGTACAGCAATCAGGTCATTTGTGTTGCTGTAGTTGGTCTGTCCTTATCAAAGATTTTTTTGTTTTTGGTTGCTTATGTTGTTTGTGTTACATAAAAGACTAAAGCTATAACCCACAACTAAACTGAAACTAAGCATTTTTGAAAAATAAACTATTCATATTTGTCTTCTTCTGTGAGGGCAGCAGTGTCAACAAAGACTGCAAGGCTTCCCTCTCTGAAGACACCTCGTCCAGCTCTGCCGGGGGGAAAACCCGATGCGCTCCCAGGCCAGCCCAGATCCATCAGTCAGGAGCCCCCCGCTCCAGCCCAGAGACATATTCTCTTCAGAGTTTCCACCTTTTTCCTGGTTGAGAACCAAGGTTTCAGACTTGACAGAGTAGTTTGCCACCGCCCCATCCATTCCATGAACCACATCATCTGAAAAAAAGCAGATCCACCAAACCAGGCGCTCTCTGGACGGGAAACAAGTCTGACTTAATGCTGGCAATGCTAACCATGCTCCTGCTTAGCTTGTACAGAGACCGGTTGGCTCCTAGTAAAAGACCCCGACTCCATACTCCTGACCCCCCCGTCACAGGGCACTATCAGATATAATGTTGAACGCCTTCTCCAGGTCCATGAAACAGATAGGACTGATTGGGCAAACTTCAAAGCGCTCTCGAAAACACTGCAGAGAATTTGCAGGTTATAGCACGGCAAGGACGAACACTGCACTGCTTCTCCTGAAGCCGAGGTCCGGCCATCAGCTGGACTCTCCTCTCTAGGACCCTTGCATAGGCCTTCCTAGGGAGACTCAGAAGTGTGTTCCCTTCATAACTGGAACACACCCTCTGGTCGTCCTTATTATGCAGGGGAGCCACAACCCCGGTCTGCAAATCCAGGGCCACTGTCTCAGATGTTTAAGAGACGTGTCAGCCATGATATCCTGACAACATCCAGAGCTCTAAGATACTCAGGGTGGATCTCTTCCACCCTCAGAGCCTTGCCACTGTGGAGTTTTCTGACCATCTCAGTGACTTCAGCTTTGGTGACGAACGAATCCAGCTGAGCAACCAGCTCTTCCACAACGGAAAGCATGTCAGCCGGGTAGAGGAGACCATCAAAGAACTTCTTACCCCGTCCAAAGATGTTCTTTATCAGAGTCAGCACCGTTACACTCCCAATAAAAACAGTGTTAGCAAAGCACTGCTTCCCTTTCTGGAGGCGCCAGACAGTTTGCCAGAAATCGCTTTGAGGCCAGCTGATAGTCTTTCTCCATGGCCTCTCCTACCAGGCCCAAGTTTTTGCCTCTACAACGGTTCCGTTAGCGGCCTATTTAAACCTTGAAGACAACAAATCTATTTGGATTTTATCCAAAAACCAACATAAAGAATTAAAAACTGTTCTCCAATTATTTTGAAAAAAAAAAAAATCTGAAATAAGTTTGTATTTAATCTGATCTCAAGTCTTGCAAATTTGTGCTGGTAAAAGCAGATCTAGGAGAGTTTAATTCTATACAATTAATTATTGGAGATAAATTATTTTGGGTCTTTAAAAACAGACTGCAGCATGAACCCATGTTAAATTTTCAACCATATTAACCATGCAAATTTATAGCTATTATTAATGGATATATATAAATTTAATTCTATTGATTATTTATTTATATTTTTATCTTTTTTTTTAGAACCATGCACACTTCCCTTTTTTTAAATGTGCACATAAATCTCATTTGTAATACCTGTTTTGAACAGAGATAGTGTGGGTCTAGCAGGTCAGTCTGTACAATACTGGAGCCAGTTAAGCACATAGATCCAAGAGCGATGCTCTGTGGAGTTTAATTTGTTCATAAACCCACTATCATAGTAGGTTATCTTTTTAATCTCTGAAAAAAACATTACCATCTAATTCTACAATTTAGAACATGTCAGTTATAGCTAAAGCATCAATTGTTTATGGACAGATAACAGATAATCCGCTTGAGTATCTCATACCTTGTCACATTTACACATTAATCTGTGGTATGGCTCACCCTGTTGGTCATTGATAGAGGAATAAAGGGAAACGTCTAAATATGTGTGGACTTTTATCTTGAATTTAAGCCGAATATAAACCTGTCTACCCTGTACATGTGGGTCTGACTTGGTGTGAGGGACCGTACATTTTCATGCTAAGATTGTTTTTTTTTTTTTTTAAGAGATCACAACATTTGTTTGGAAGTCAGCCTACTCTAGTTTCCAGCCCTGCTCAGTGCGTACCCAAGCTTTGAAAATAATACGCCAGATTTGTAGTTTAACTTTTTATCCTTTTAAGAAATTCACCTATTTCAGATGTTTCTACAGCTTCTTACTAATATACTTTGTCTCTTGAGATAGTGTGTTTCACAAATTGCACACATGGATAAATTGCTTACTTGTAAAATACGATATTTGTATTTGTCATTCCACTGCAGATTTGTCTGCTACTTATTATTGGTCTATATTTCACATGCAATGCTTTCAAAACAGGTTTCTGGAAGGAATATGGCAAAAGTAGGGAAAGTTTAAGGGGTATACATTCTTTATGACTCTCACCCCTTTTTTCCCAGGGATGGCACATTCCCAGTTCATTAGATTCATGGTTCCATCAGGGTTCTTCGTGGGCACAGCAACAAAGCCCTGTTGGTTTAAAGAAAGCGAGTCGTCATGGTCAACTTATATCTCATTACATACGTGGATCATCTGATCATATTGCTGTAAGGAGGCAGATATGTGATAAGTGTGCGGTCCAGCCTGTTGCTGCTTACAAATGGGTGGTCTTTCCTCCAGGCTTTGCGCTCCTGGGACAGTCTGCTGAGAGCAATGCCAGACATGATTATTGCTCATCAACGCCACCTTGTGGAAAAATAAAACCATTACCGTTATTCAATCATTAGATGTTCGTGAAATTTCTGTACAGTCGTAACCAAAATAATTACCAGAATATAGATTATCTGACCGTGAGTTTATTATGGAATAGTTGAAGTAAACATAAACGAGCTAGCTTGTTTTGTTAACCGTTTTAAAGAACCAAAACAACAACTTCAACGGTAGAGAACTAAAACTAGTGTTACTATTGAGGGACATTATTTTATCAAACTTACGTCTTATTTTTATGAAGAAATATCACAGAAGGTGTTATTCTGGAGATAGGGATAGTTTGTTAGCTGGGATGATGCTAACGCTTTAGCTCCGCTGCGACTGAAACCGAAAGATAAAAACAACGTTCAACGCTTAGACACACTTCTTCAGCGCCACTTGAGGCATAAAAACAAACAGAAAAAAACTCCTTTTGTAATTATCGAATAGCTAATAGGTAGCTTACTGGGGAAATTTTAAACGTATTAAAACATGTAGCTCTAAAACCCCGTTTTATAAGCTAGCCCTCAGCAAGAAAGGACCCCAATTTGTTTATTTCCTAAGGACCTTCAGGCAGTGATAAGGACAGACTGCCCACCATCTTTTTTTGTAGTTTTTCGCCCTCTCATTAAAATATAATGAAAAATGTACAATTTCTGAACAATGTTTTTAAACAAACCTGCTAAAAAGATCCTCTGTTAATAAATTTAGGTTTAATGTTTGTTTTCAACACAGTTAGTCTACAGCTTCTCAATCATTTCATTAAATTAGTGAGTAAAAATGCATTCAGTAAGAGGAAATATATTTAATATCTCCCTCAACAAACCCACCAATTTATTATTTTTCCTCACATTCTGTCAAGTTGTAGGAGAACATGTTTCGTTAAGCTTATATGTAATAGACCAACAAATTATCTGCATAAGGTGTGGCACACATTTATGTAACCAGATGATGTTTGTTCTTTTTTTATTATTGCTGTATTTTATAATTCCATAAAATGACCCAATGTTTTTGCCCTGACCATAAAACCCATTCTCCCCCGCGTGTGAATGCTAGAAACCTGTCTCATCTATCATTTTATAATGTAAAGCTGCATAGAATCTATATTCAAATTAACCTTTGAAAGAACATCTTCCATACTGTTTTTTTTTTTAAATGTATATAGTTTAATGCAGAATAATCTGAGGGAGTCAAGTGTGTTTTCTTTTTCTGGGTGTCCAAATAAACAAAGTTTGATCCCCAAAGTGGCACACTGAAGACTCTACAAATAAACAATTACACTTCGTTCCCCTTCACATTCATTTATTTAAATTTGTCACAGAGCAATTGTCAGTCCAAAACTGAAATAAAAAAAAAAAAAAGTGCAACAACTTTGGCAAATCTGTAAAAACTAGACATTACCATAATTATAAGGCAACAGGTTATGCAAGGAGATCATTAATCACACAAGTAGTCCATGGAAACCCTGGAGGAGCAGCAAATAAACTGCAGCTCAGGTTTAAATTCAAACTTTTCGAACATAAAATATCCTGGGAATGGAATTGTTTTACTGGTAATATGTGCATAGACTGCTTATAATTGTAATTTTTATAATTCAACTTTATTGATCTCACATTGGAGAAATTTACCTCTGTATTTAACCCATGCCCTTGGGGAGCTGTGAGCTGCCATTATGTGGCCCAATCACAGGTTAAGGAACAGAGGTCAAGGGTAAAGGTCAGGAACCTAGAGTGGAGGCAGTGGGATTCAAACCAGGTACTTGCAACCTTCTCAGAGGCCAACACTCCCAAATAGGGAATGGGTTAGAGAAGTGCTTTGGGATTCATGCTAATTCCTTCCTCCTAGTCATTCAGAATGGCATATGTGGTCATGCTTGATAAAGAGGAAAACAACAGATTGAACACATTTGCTTACATTTACTTTATTACTTTGTCCCCTTCAGGTTGGAGGAGAGTCCCTGCCTCAAGTGGAGGAGTTCAAGTATCTTGGGGTCCTGTTCCTGTGCGGCTGCTGCAATAATGCGGACGCTGCACCGGTCTGTCGTGGTGAAGAGCCGGTTCTCCTCCACATCGAGAGGAGTCAGTTGAGGTGGCTCAGACATCTTCTTCGGATGCCCCCTGGACGCCTCCCTCGGGAGGTGTTCCAGGCACGTCCCACCGGGAGGAGGCCCAGGGGACGACCCAGGACACGCTGGAGAGACACGCTGGCCTGGGAGCGCCTATGCTTCCCCCAACAGAGCTGAAGGAGGTGTCAGCGGAGAGGGAAGTCTGGGAGTCTCTGCTTAGTCTGCTGCCCCCGCGACCCGGTTCCGGATAAAGCGGGAGACGACGAGGACGAGGACTTTAAGAAATTACACACCATTTAGAGTAACAAGAGCTGTGATACTCTTGGCAAAAAAAAATAAAAAATTCTGCAGCAGCGCCATTGAGAATCATCTCATTTCCATGTAGAAATTAAGCCTATTTGCTGGTATTCCTTCATCTAAACAAGTATCATTGTCATTCTGACATGCCTACATCTTTCCAGCAAAACACAGCAGCACTTCTCACATTCTTTTGGGAAGAGGTGATGCTATATCAGCTGAAAAGGGTAGGCCAATTTCACACTGAACCCTGTTGATAAAGAACAGGATGCCATACAAGTTCATATGAAAAATACTACCCTTAATAACTAATGACTTTATGAACTTGTATTACATACTTCTGCAAAGGAATTAATTATTTTGCCCTTAAAATAAGATAATTAGATATTATCCACTCGAAGTAAGATATTTCAACCATAAATCATCTTATTTGCCAACTAATCTTCTTATAAAATGACAAAATTAAGTTTTGGTGGTGCATTCAAAGTACAGTCCAGAGAGAAGCCAGGAAAACATTAAACCTTCTTTCCACCCCCCTCTGAAATGATGTACTCTGGAGGGGCTCTTTGAAAGAATTCTGTCCAGGATCCATCATACAGACCGACATCAGAGAGTCCAAGCCGCTGAGCAGCCAGAACGACATGACACGCTGTGATTCCCAAACTGCAGGAAGCCCAGAGCGGCTTTTTCAGGTCCACTCCAGCCTCCTTGAAGAGTTTTCCCAAAGTATCAGTGTTGTGATACTTTCCGGAGGAATCCAGGAAACATGTAAAGGGTATGTTGATCGCTCCTGGGAAATGTCCAGGAAGAACACCTGAGAAGGGAAGATAGATAAAAAAAGTGCTAATATTAATTTTCAGTGATGATGTTTCTGTAATCCAGTAGTAGTCACTTCTTATGTAAAAGCTTTTGTTTGGCTTTCAACAGCTTTAACACACTGGGTTAGCTGGTGTTGTTATCACGGTGTAGGGTAAAAAGGATGAAAAAATGTCAATTTTGAAAAATAAGAAAGAGTGGAATAAGTTTTCAATGCAATTTCAGATGCATGTTTTGTAGGGCATCTCTCCACCAGCTCTAACCACTTAGATGGCTAGTTTTTGCCCATTCTCCTTAGCAATTCCAATGGAATGGGGGGAGAACATATATAGTCCCCTTTCAATTGCATGTGGAGAGCACTATTGACAACCTGGATGCATTTTGACATAAACAAACCTGGCTAATTTCACTTTACTTTCTAGGGACTTCAGTGTCTGATAAGAGATAGGACCTTTCAGCTTTCCCTGAGATTGTTAATGGGATGGGGCTGTGAGCAGCAAGACATGCCATTGCACCACCAGGTGCAGTAAGGAGGGGAAAGCAAAAATCTATCATTACCATTACTTTTTTTCTTATAAAAAGTAGATTTTGGATGTCCTTAAGCGAGGAAGTCCACCTCTAGTGTTTATCTATGCAATCAGCATCGCTGAATATTTCATTGCCATTTAAATTATTAGCCTACTTTGAACCGTACAAGCAGTTGCAAAGGGAATCCAAAGTTATTTATTTATTTATTTTTATATACTCTAATAATCCCAGAGGGAAATTACTTCTCTGCATTTAACCCATCCCCTTGGGGAGCAGTGGCCCAACATTGTGTGGCGCCCGGGGAGCAATCAGGGGTTAAGGGTCTTGCTCAGGGAGCCACTAGACCGTCACTAGCACTGCCTTAATTTGGCCAGTTAAGTGGAGGGGTTTCCTGCTGCCCATTGCAGCAGGGCCGAGCTCAATTAGTGGCTGCCGCAGCGTTGTGACGCTTCCTTTTGCCGGGCTGGGCAAAACTGCAAGAACCAGATCATAATATGTTAATAGACCAGGAAATGTAAATGCAAATATTTCTTGCTGGATTGTTTACACATTTTAAGCTTATATGGAGGCATTAAATCAAAACTATTTTCAGCAGTTAACTAATGGAATAAGTATTTTAAATATTAGCAATATTGTTTAAGATTTATCACAAGGCTAATTCTTTATTGTTTTTCTGATACACAATATTTTGACAAATAAAGCTTTCTGTTGTAGAGATTTGCAGTTGTTGTAAAGAAATCATGAAGCTGAACAACTCTGGCCAGATCCAGGTTGATAAAAAAAAAAAAATAAAAATAAACCACTATTTACACTTTCCCTGCTGAGTTGAGCGCAGCTTGATGAAAAAAATAATTGTATTCTTATGTGCGTCTTATTACCGTCACCATCTGGACAAAAGGCGTATTCCCCTAAAATGTAAAAAAAAAAAAAAAAAGTTTCCCATTCATATCAAGACTGATGGTTTCCAATTTGACTATGGGCGATTTTGGTTCATATAGAACGATTCGATACGATTCATGTGCAGAAAAAGAAAGCTAACGGAGCAAGCATGTAGGATGACCCTACGTAAACATTTCTCCAGAATGATTGACAATTAGGACGAACACTTAGTTAGATGATCCACCCAGAAATAAAAGATGGTCCTCTATACCTTTTATATGGCTAACTGACTGAGCTAAAAGAGCCTAAACTCTGTGGTTGGAAAAATCGATTTCCTATACAATCCTTTCATAATATTTTCACATGAGTGCTTATTTTCAATTACTTACTTATTATTACTTAGTGTTCACTCAGCCTTCCCCCACCAACAAGGCTACACAGTGTCTTGGTGAAAGCGGTTGTTGATTATTGATTGAAGAGAAGCCAGACTCCCTTAGACTCCCTTTTTATTTAAACTTAATACTGTTTTCTTAAACTGTCTGCAACTTGCTTTTTATAAACTGTGTGTGGAAAAACCTTCACAGCTTTTTGCAGGCTTTAAGTGGTGAAATTCTGTGTGACCAGAACAGGCAGTAATATTGGCAACACCGTTCTCCCTAGCAAATGTAAAATAAAATTCTTCTTGAATGAGGAATATTGAATTTCATATTCTTGTTAAATAAGACATAGATTTTTTTCTATTAACACCTGTTAGCTACTGAACACAGCTAGCTAATGAGCTATCCAGCTTTGCCCTTTATGCCAGTGACATAGTCCATCATAAACAGATATGTTTCAGTTTTATTATCAATCAGGTAAAACTTTATCGGTCATAAGAAATGATGTCACTAACAGTACAGATGCTCTCGACTCGGCTTCGATTAGGTTATAATCGTTGTCCAGGCGACCCAAGGTTTTATGTCAATGTGGCAACGTTCAGCCAGTCATATAGTATAAAAATAATCGTCCGTGCAGAACTGACTACCTGAGCAGATCTGGTATATCCATATATATATTTTATATTAAATAATTTGCCAAGCACAGATGGATGTGGTTGGATCGATGCCGTAGAAGTTGATTCATTGTGTAAACATTCAATCATTACACCCCTACAGTGGAATAATTTTTTACTAAACTCCATTCAATTGATCGTTTTGCATTCATATCTGCATAAATGTCAGAATAGGAAGTTGAAATATTCTATATCTTACGCTGTTGAAAATAAAGATGCAGAAAGCACTTTATTCCACTCAGTAAGTACAAACACTCCATAAGGTCCTAAAGGTATGATCTAATACTGTTGAAAGTAAATTTATTTTCTGTTTGAATTTACTGCCTATTGTACATCAGTGACATCCTGGAGCCAGTTTCACTCTGGGTTGGCTAAATTCCAGTTTTATATCTCTGTTCACGCCTGTGTTGACATGGAAACTTGCAAGTCAGCAAGACAGACATTCCAATGCTTTAACATCTTAACATCCACCTCATTTTGGGAAATTCTCACTGTGTAAAATTCTCATCTGTGTAAAATGACCTATACATTTCTGATATTATCTTATTTGGAAACTTTGTGGTTTGGAGGAAGCTGCAGGTAGCACATTTGAGCAGACCCAGGTATAACCGGATTTTTGTGTAAGTCTTCTTTTGATCATAGATAACCATTTAAATGCAGAATATGCCAAGATGGCATTGCTTTAGTATAAATAGGTGGGAGGACTAAACCTTGGGCCACTGCTGTTTTAAAGAGCAAAGCTCAAAAGTAGGCCTGAGGTAAATGATCCTCTGTAATGGATGAAACAATGATTTTGTTAAACATGGACAGGAACACATTCTGTTAATACTTAAAGATGTTTTCCCCTTGTTTGTATTACTCTGAGAACATTCCCTCATGCATTAAAGAGCCCAGTTCAGAACAATAGCGACCATTGAAACGTGCTACAAGGTGAAGCACGAAACTGACCAATGTGTGTGAAGGTAAGGATGTGATGAAAGAAACATAGATGGAATTACAACAGATTTATATTATGACAAAAAAAAAGAAATTATACCAATGGGAACAATTGATTGTGAGGCATTTGTGAGGTAATTCACTGTATGGAGCAGTGGTGGAAAGTTACAAAGTACTTGATTACTATACTTAAGTAATTTCTTTTCAGTATCTTTACTTTACTTGAATAATTTTTTGTGGGACATCCTATAACTTTCACTACATTTCAGTCAAATATTGTACTTTCTACTTGACTACATTTAGAGGAAGCTGCTAGTTACTTGTTCCTTAAATGCTGAAATGCAATTTCTACATGTAAGATAGCAGCCCTTAGAAATGAATTTGGACACCACTGTCTAAGAGATTTGCATGACGTTTCACAAATCTGAGAAACTGTTGTTGTTGCCATGTGGCCGAGTTACTTAGTAGGATGAGTTTTCCGGGCAGAGTTGTGGTTTCCTTTTGCTAATAGATTCAATCATGAACTGTTCCATAGTTTGAGGAAAATCAAGACACTGCTTTTTTGTTTTTGCTTTGTTTTGAAATAAAAAATAATAATCATAATAGTTGGTTACAGGTGGTGTAGTATCTGTAGCAGGTTGTTTCTACGCATCAATACATCAAGTGGTTTCTGAAAGTCAGAGGGTTCTTCAACATTACTCTGAAAATTACACAGAAATGTAGCAATATTAGAAAATGTAATTTGTATTTTTGAATACTTAAGTACTTTTAAATGCATGTAAGTATTTTCAAAAGTGAGGACTTAAATACTTTAACTTGAGTAGATGTTTGGCTGACTAACCTTTCCTGTTAGTTGAGTAAGATTTCAAATGAGTATCAGTACTTTTACTCCAGTACTACTTTTGAGTACTTTGTCCACTACTGTTATGGAGACAAGTTTTAAACATTCCTTTGTGAAAAAAACAGAAACAACCGTTTAGAGGCAAGGCTAACAGCACAGTGTCACTCCCAGCTCTGATTGTTGGCTACCTAAAAGGTTTCTCTGCTTTAGCACAACTGATTCTGATGATTGCAGTTCAACAGAATCCTGTTAATCATCTATCAATGTAAATCAGCTGTGCTGGAGCAGGGAAACCTCTAAAACCTTCAGGACAGTGGCCCTCGAGGACCGACTTTGGTGATGTCTGGTTTAACATCTCTTAAAACGTAATATTGATCTTCCTATGCTGTTCAGCCTACGACAGAGCATTAGAGCCATGCCAGAGATTTTTTTTCTATTATGAGAATACAGTCTTAAAATTACGGCAATAAAGTCGCAACAAGAATAGACATAAAATTATGAGAATAGTCATAAAATTATGAGAATAGTCATAAAATTATGAGAATAAAGTCATAACATTATGAGAATAAAGTTGTAATATTACGAGAATAAAGTCCTAATAAAGCGAAAATAAAGTCCTAATATTAAGAGAATAAAGTTTTAATATTGTGAGAATAAAGTTGTAATATTATGAAAATAAAGTCCTAATATTACGAGAATAGTCATAACATTACAAGAATAAATTCGTAATATTACGAGAATTAAGTCCAAATATTACGAGAATAAAGTTTCAACATTTCGAGAATAAAGTTGTTACATTATGAGAATAAAGTGTTATTTTTCTAAGAACTCTTAAAAGAAGCACAGTCATAATTAAAATGAGGAATTTTGAACATCATGTTAAATTGTTATACTTTGGTTTCAGGAATAAAGAAATCTGTTAGCCCAGCAGCATGACGTCACAGGGAGTTCAGGGTGATGATTAGTGGAGCTGGTTGGCCACCATCTGCTGATCGGAGCTCAAAGGTTTCTTTCTTAAATAGGATGTGGTACGATTACTTTATTCTCGTAATATTACAACTGTATACTCATAATATTAAAACTAAAAATAATATATATAATTAATATTATTTTTAATTATAATATATACTATAATATATATATATATTTTTTTTAGCCTGGCCCTAATACTCCTTTGTATTAGCAGATGCTGCTCTCTGACAAACCTGTCAGTTCTTTAAAGAAACATCTGGATTTATACTGAGATTATTGCAGAAAGATTTTCTGTTTGTGATGCCCTCTTGCGCAGCTCACCTTCCTTGGCTTCTGGTTCGGTTCCCTGGAACCAGCCGGCAGGTCTGGAGTCCACCACCTGGACCTTCTTGGTCTTGATGTTCTCCATCACATCTTCAAAGCTCTTCACCCAGGACTGATTGAGCTCCGCCTGGAAGTCTCTCCGCTCCGGCTTGCTGCAGTCGGAGGTCACCGGGTGACCCTCAGCCAGCCAGTTCTTCAACCCTCCGTCCAGCACCGACACCGAGCCGTGCCCGAACAC